TTCGGGATTTTACCATTATGTTACACAAAAAACAACCAATACTGTAGCAAATAACCCTTTTAACAATACGTAGATCATGATTACGATGAGGTTATTCAAAGAAATGTGCCCTTGTGCATTTACGCTTTCCTTTGAATGCAAAATTCCAAACAGAAGGCAACAGTCAGAGATGGTTCTCACGTTAGCACACCCAGGCTACATCTAGGCTAACTTGTCTGCGCTCAACAAATACAATTGACCTTAAAACGTGACAAATTCACCGGATTGGTTCAGGATTCTGTAAGGGTTAGAGAAATCAATATAAATCAATCAAAATACATAATTAATTGCCAGTGAAAAACTGGTTGGTTTAGTCCTGGTTCAGTCCTCGGTTCAGTTCTGGTTTGGACCTGGTTCAGGTCTGGTACAGCTCTAACTTAGTCCTGGTTTAGTCCTGGTTTAGTCCTGGTCAGTTTTGTGGAGTAACAGATTACATGTACTGGAGTTACGTAATCAGAGTACAAATTATGAGTAACTGTATTCAGTTACAGTTACTGTTTCAGTGAGTGGTAATTGGATTACAGTTACTTTGTTGAAATAAATGGATTACAGAGCAGTATTTTACTGTTTTCACATTCTGGGCTATATCCCCACCCCCTTTTTTTTTTCTTTTTCTTTTTTTTTTCTTGGTAATTTCACTCATTGCCGGAAACTAAACCAGGTCTAAACTAGAACTAAACTAGAGCGAAACCAGGTCTAAACCAGGACTAAAACAGGCCTAAAACCAGGTCTAAACTACATCTAAACCAGGTCTAAACCAGGACTAAAACCAGGTCAAAACTAGATCTAAGCCAGATCTAAAACAGGTCTAAAACCAGGACTAAACCAGGACAAAAATATGATGAAACTAGGACTACACCAGGACTAAACCAGGACTAGACCAATTAAACCAACCAGTTTCTTGTTTTCACCTTGAATAGTGTCCAAACACAAACTGAACTGTACTTTTATACTTGTACTATTAAACTTTTACTATATGTATTTTGTTTGTTATTTTGTTTGTACAATCTAATGCAAGCTCCACTAATTCTTTGTTTCGGAATTTGCAGTACATCTCGCAGTACTTCTTGTAGTACATCGCAGTACTTTTTGCAGTACTACAGTTACTTCCTCCTTGCTTGGGTCTTGTCCTCGTCCTGAAGCATGAACGTGAAGGTTGGAGACTACATCAGCTCCAGCTCCTCGTCCTACGAAGTGCAGCAGATCCTGGGCTTCGGGGGCTTCGGAGTGGTCGCCCTCTGCTACAACACCAACAGCGGCCAGACGGTGGCGCTGGAGGTGCTCAAAGGACGGGACAACAGCGAATTCCACTTCGGACAGAAGGAGGTAAGACACACGTGCAGAAACATGTTTTCACTGAAACTGGTTTGATCAAACTATTTCATCTGAAAATAGCTTAGATTTGGTCTTAAAAGTCACTTTTAATTTGATTGGACAGGAGAGTTTTTACTGTTTTACATGTTTCATGTTTGGTCCTGGTTTAGTCCTGGTTTAGTCCTGGTTTAGACCTGGTTTAGTCCTGCTTTAGTGCTGTTTAGTCCTGGTTTTATCCCTGATTTAGTCCTGGTTTTAGACCTGGTTTTACATCTGATTTAGTCCTGGTTTAGACCTGGTTTAGTCCTGCTTTAGTGCTGGTTTAGTCCTGGTTTTATCCCTGATTTAGTCCTGGTTTTAGACCTGGTTTTACATCTGATTTAGTCCTGGTTTAGTCCTGGGTTAGATCTGGTTTAGAGCTAGTTTAGTCCTGGCTTTAATTCTGGTTTAGTCCTGGTTTAGTGAAATGTGATTAAACTAGGACTAAACCTAGATTAGAACAGGACTGACCCAGGACTGGACCAGGCCTCAACCAGAACTAGACCAAGGCAAAAATATGATTAAACTCGAACTAGACCAGGACTAAACCAGGACTAAAATCTTGAGTTAAGTTTATCCATTGTATTAAACTTGTATGTGATCTTGTGCGCCCCCTACAGGCCCAGATGCTGCGCAGCCTCAAGGAGAAAGGCTCTGAGTCGTATCACATCGTCCAGTGGATTGACTCGTTTAAGTATCGGGGGACGTTTCTGCCATGAATTCGAGAGGCTGGACATCAGTCTACAGGAGTACCAGGCCATGGCTCCGTGTCAGAGTCTGCGCCTCAAAAACATCCGTCCGATCGTCACTCAGGTAAAACTCTGGACTCATCAGAATGTGTTTTTATATTTGCATTTTATACCAGACAATGTGTTTTGATGTGAATCCTGCTCTTAACTCCACGTGTGTTAAAGTGAGCTCGTATCTCTTGCAGATGGTCGGGGCGTTGCTCTTCCTGAAGAGCGTCGGCGTCATCCACAGCGACCTGAAGCCCGATAACGTGATGCTGATCGATCACGTGAGGCAGCCCCTCGCCATCAAACTGATAGACTTTGGTTTGGCCTGTGCTGTGAGCGACACCAAGCCCGGACAAATGATACAGACAGTCTGCTACAGGTATGTGAAGACAGGGACAAGACAGGGACAAGACAGGGACAAGACAGGGACATGACAGGGACAAGACAGGGACATGACAGGGACAGACAGGACAAGACATGACAGAGGGACAAGACAGGGACATGACAGGGACATGACAGGGACATGACAGGGACAAGACAGGGACAAGACAGGGACAAGACAGGGACATGACAGGGACATGACAGGGACAAGACAGGGACAAGACAGGGACATGACAGGGACATGACAGGGACAAGACAGGGACAAGACAGGGACATGACAGGGTCAAGACAGGGACATGACAGGGTCAAGACAGGGAGAGAGAGTGGGTGGAGACTTACTGAGGGTGAGCCCACAATATGGATGTGGTAGCAACCATATATGTGCAACGCTTTAAACCACAGCACCGCCGGTGCAATTCATGACTTTTATAATCAGTTCTTTGTATAGCTACAGACTATATACATTATTGTCTGCAGAATTCATTTGTTATTAATGTGTCATTACTTACCCCATGTGTTTAATTTGGTGTGTCCATCCTTTACAGCACCATCTGCTTGTTATGGCAACATTATAACTCCAGTGTCATTTAGAGGTATGTTCCTGAGCTCCAGAGATCCAGCAGAGATGAACAGAGTGATTGTGCCTTCATACTCTGGAGCAGTAGTTGTTAGGAACAGTAGAGCAGATGAAAGCTTTAGTGCCAAACACCCTTTGTGTTGGATAAAGAGACGTGGTGAACATCACAGCATCTCCCACAGCTGCATCTACAGAGCCTTGTGATAATACACCAGCTCCTGAACAGAAACCTGCAGAACAACAGTGCACAAAACTAACTTGACTTTACTATAAAACACCAACAGAGTCAACTTGATGCTATTCATTCACATTTAGAGGAGACTCAATGCAGATTTACTGTTCTTATCTCCAGAAGACACTCCAGTGACAATGTGTCAGGTGCCAGCAAGGCTAGAACTGAAGTGAAAGAACCTGTGAACAGGAAGAACAATGTTGGATTTTACAACAGTTAGGGTCACTGTCCTTATCTAACACTAACACTTTCAATTATTATCTATGTGTTCTGCTCTCAGCTCAATTGAAGCATATCCCGGTGTATCTGTGACACTGTTCTCACATTGATATTTGTAGCCATAGAGCTGTACTTTATTAATGAAGTGTAGCCTGAATGATCCTGAGCAGCTCAGTCATGTGAGCTGCCAAACAGGAATGCCACAGATTCTGCTGATTGTGTTCATATTCTATAAAAAATAACCTCAGTAAGAAAGTCTGGACTACAGAAAAATCTACATTCATCTACTTGTTTTAACGCGTTACATGCACTGTGACTGTATGTGAAGCCTCAGATGTTTTGTTTGTGATTTGATTTGAAGCTCGACAGATGTACTCTCCACTGTCTGAAGATCCAGCTGTGGTTTTAGTATATTCAGATGAGTGAGTGAGAACTGTCCCGTCCTTTATCCAGGTGTAATTAGCAGTTGGCACTGAGTCACTCAGGCAGGTTAATTTGAGTGTTTCCTTCACTTGAATCTCTTTTGGACTTGAGATTTGAACATTTTCTGGTCCATCTGTGAAATTAATGTTTTCCAGTAAATGAATGAAACATAATGAACCCAGACACTTACAGAAAACCTCCAGAACATAAAGAGCTGTCTGAGAGTTGATGATTTCAGAGGTACTTTCCACTGTCTTTTCTGTTCAAGACTTTGAAGGACAAGACTCGTTTTTGGTCATAAAATACAATGTTTTCAGAAGGATTTAGCTCCTGTCCATTTATCGACCAGTTTCTGGTGAAGATGGAACCAGAGGCATCACAGGTTAAGTTCACTGAGGAGCCCTCGATCGGCTCATTGGAGGATGGCAGAACAGAAACATTTGTGATTCTCTCTGTGAAAACAAAACAAAATCAGAATATCATTAGTTCAAAATTAAACAAGAAGAACTGAAGTATGTTCTCTGTTGAATGTTTTATAGCGTTTTAAATCTTGAATTGTTGACTTACTCAAAACAGAGATCCTCACACTCCTGAGTTAATATTATTATATATTTTTTTCTTATTAAAACACACAAAGTGACTTTGAAATATACATTTTGTGAATGTTTCTAATACTACTTCATTGCACTGATGTCATAGTTTTCAACAGTTTTTTGCTCTATTGTTCAAGGTTTATTTAGTCCAACTGCAGAGACATTGTTGTATTTTACAGTATGTAGTGTTGTGGAACAGACTGCAAACATTAAAAAAGAACTGAAAAGTTGCTTTGAATCAAGGAGTCTGATTTATTGAAGCAATTGTGCATAAAATCACAGAACTGCCGGTCCCTGACAGAGACTCGTCTGTCCCTAAACTGTCACATAACAATGTAGACAGAGTCTTTACACCCCACAGGGGGCATAAGGCACAGGGATGATACACACACATAAGATAAGACCTAGTCTCATCTGGAGACAGGTCAACACAAGGCTGGGTCAACACACAACTATGAGTAGAATGACAAACTAGGACTGATAGAAACAATAGACTTGTATGTGGGTACAAGGCCAGAGTGTTCTACAGAGGATGACAGGATTACAGCCAGCAATCAAACTAGTTCCAAAAAACAAGATAAAACAATCAAGAGGTTGGGATAACTTTGCTTAACAATAGATATCTGATGTACCATTTATGAACAGCCTAAACCCAGTAAAAGATCACTGATGTAAAGATTTCCAGAACAATACATACATTCAGAACTGTTCGAGTTAAACACAGCGTCTAAAACACTGAAACAATCATTTATGTGATGAGGAAATTGAAGTAAAAATGAGATTAGAGTTACAAGTTTTGATTGTATGGATTGAAATCATTCTCATACACAGTTTCTTCATCATTGTTAGAGTTGTGTGTATTTGAAGTATTCTCGTAGACATGACGCTCATTCTGACCAGGATGTGGACGTGTCATCTCACTTCAACTTTATTTTGAGAATATTTGATAAACTACAATAATACTTACTGTTATTCCTGAACTTTCTGCCTTTTCTGAAAATAAAATAAAATAAATAAATAAATGCAAATCAAACATAACATAGTCAGTATACAGGAGGCCTACATACATATTATAAATGAGACATTGAAGATATGTTTGTTTTTTTTAACTTACTGGCGTTTATACACCTAAAAGCCTCCGGCTGCAGCTCCAGCAACGACCACTAATAAAGCAACAGTTATCCCAGCGATGGCTCCAGTTGAGGGACACCCCCGGCCTATTCAAGAAATACAATGAGATCCAGTTAACCACAGCACCACTTAGTGTCCTCTCAGTGTCACTGCAGACTGTGCACATTGTGACTGGTGAATGTTGAATTATTGTGAGCAGCACAGCTCAAGAGTCAAACAGGAAAACTCCACAGATCCAGTGATGATTTGTGTTCATATGATTTAAAGAAGACATATTCTGTAGAATTGACTTTGACTTTATTTTGTCCATGTTCTATCCGTGTTTCCTCAGCATTCATTTGCTCATAGTTGTATTTTGATGGAGCCTGTATTTTTTTGTTTGTTTGTTTTTTGTGTGTGTGTAATCCTGCGTTGTCCTGCATCTGAGGCTTATGTGCTCAGAAGATTTCAGTTTGTTCAGACAGTGGTTTGCAGAAAAGTCATGATGCCATTTTTAAACAGGAAAGAATAAAATCTGTTACTTGCTGTGGTCAAAAGTCATTTCAGACAAATACTGTGATTTACAACATACAACATGTAAATGTCTGTGTGTGTTATAGTGAAATGCTAAATAAATATATGATAAGACATATATCTTCTGTAAAGAGTTAGTTTGTTTGACCAACAAGAAAGTCTGAACTACAGGAAAATAAACATAAATCCACTTTTTACCCTTTACATTCACTGTATGTGATGCCTCAGATGTTTTCTTTGTGATTTGATTTGAAGCTCGACAGATGTACTTTCCACCATCTGAAGATCCAGCCGTGGGTTTAGTAAAAGCAGATGAGTGAGTGAGAACAGTCCCACCCTTTATCCAGGTGTACTTAGCAGCTGGTACAGAGTTACTGAAGCAGGTTAATTTGAGTGTTTTTTTCACCTGAATCTCTTTTGGACCTGAGATTTGAACATTTTCTGGTCCATCTGTAAAATAATGTTGAGTTAAAGGAAATGTTTTTTCAGTAAATGAATGAAACATAATGAACCCAGACACTTACAGAAAACCTCCAGAACATAAAGAGCTGTCTGAGAGCTGATGGAGTTGATGATTTCACAGAGGTACTTTCCACTGTCTTTTCTGTTCAAGACTTTGAAGGACAAGACTCGTTTTTGGTCATAAAATACAATGTTTTCAGAAGGATTTAGCTCCTGTCCATTTATCGACCAGTTTCTGGTGAAGATGGAACCAGAGGCATCACAGGTTAAGTTCACTGAGGAGCCCTCGATCGGCTCTTTGGAGGATGGCAGAACAGAAGTATTTGTGATTCTCTCTGTGAAAACAAAACAAAATATCTCAGAAAAAAAGTTTCCTCACTGGGCATTGTAAGTGCTGTCAAAGTGTAAGAAGAGTTACTGTAAATATGACTCATTTATCTGGACACATGCAAATTATGGCCACATCCTCCCCTTGATTGATTAAGAAAAATATCTGCCAACAAAATGTAATATATTTGAAATGAGACTCGGAGATCAGGTTCGTTTAGGCAAACCTTAACTGCATCAATGTTTACTGCACACATTGCAAGTACCAGGATGACAGACGCATGTGCAACAGTGCCACAACAGGCTGCGTGGATAGGTGCATCCAGAATCTCGGACTTCTGGTCTTTGCACAATTCATACTGGGAAGGATTTTCCAAAAAAGTGAGCATCAAACCGCTATGTTTGTTTTCCCAGTGGGATGTGTCTATTGACAAAGCCAGTTTTCTTCTTGTCTTTTGAACCATATCACTTTTGTTTCTGGTTCTGCTATTGTCATATTTTAGTTTTGGGATCCAGACATTGTAATTGTGTGGTTGTTGGATCCTAACAGCGGAAAACGGCTCGAGAAATTTGTTTGTGAACTCCATAACTGCAAAAGTGAATCAGATGTGTGTGACTGCAAACCTCTGTTCAAAGTGTTTCCCTTCTCAACAGAATTGAAAAATAGTGAAAGGAGAAGGCGATGGGCAGTATTGATCCACAGGAAGGACCAAAAAGGAAACCTTTGGCTGCCTAAATCATCCCGAGTTTGCAGTGAACATTTTGTATGTGGAGCCATCAAAGCAAAATCCCGATCCCTCACTCAACCTTAGTTACGAATTTAAAAAGTCAACGCCAAAATGAAAGGCACCAGCTGTTCACCAAGAAAACAACTTCCACTGCAAAGAGACCAAGACGTGATGTTGCTGTAAAACCACAAGAACAAGAAAGTGCAGCTCAGTCTGTTTGTCTTCTGCACCTCTCACTTAACAAACAGGATCCTGCTTTGTTGGTGCTCCACATACAAAATGTTCTCTGCAAACTCGAGATGATTTAGAAGGTCAAAGGTTTCCTTTTTGGTCCTTCCCGTTGAAGACTATATCGAGTAATAAAGTATCCTGAGTGTACTGCATGCGTATATTAAATATTGCAATTATATATTTATTTGAATATTACACAATGAGTTAATGCTTAACCACTGAAATCTGATATCTCTTTTTTTCAATTCTGTTGGGAAGAGAAACAGCTTGAACAGAGGTTTGCAGTCACACACATCTGATTCCCTTTTGCAGTTATGGAGTTCACAAACAAATTACTCGAAATGTTTTCCGCTGTTAGGATCCAACAACCACACAATTACAATGTCTGAATCCCAGAACTAAAATATGACAATATCAGAACCAGAAACAAAAGTGATATGGTTCAAAAGACAAGAAGAAAACTGGCTTTGTCAATAGACACATCCCACTGGGAAAACAAACATAGCGGTTTGATGCTCACTTTTTTGGAAAATCCTTCCCAGTATGAATTGTGCAAAGACCGGGAGTCCGAAATTTTTGATGCATCTATACTCACTGCACTGGCAACATAGGGGTAAATGCACCACGCAAATGTTATACACAATGTAAAAGTAGATGAAGGACAGGTGTATGACACTGGAATAGTTCTTACTCAGCACAGAGATCCTCACAGGCTGAGACGTTGCATCTCTGAGAGTTTTGGTGTTGAAAGCCTGACAGCTGTAGTCTCCACTCTGGTTCATCTGCATGTTCTTCACTTGTATCTGTGCTTCAGTAAAAGACAACAGCTCTCCATTGAAAAGCCATTTAAAGTGAGCTGCAGGTCTGGAGTCAGCTGAGCAGGACAGAGACACGGTTGAACCTTCCTCATAATAATCAAGTAAAGGAGAGCTCCTCAAAATGACATCATCAGGTCCATCTGAAAATATCAAATATAAATACACAGTTTAGAGTTGGACATGGGATTGTTTGTGCGTCTGAACTGTAGAAATGCTTTACTCACAGCTGATGGAGACTTCTGCTGGGGCACTGGTGCTGCTACTGAAAGGATTAGACACTTTACATGTGAATGGTCCCTGGTCATAGCGCCACACAGTGGCTATAGTGAGAGTTGCTCCTCCATCAGTGAGGTGCACTCTGTCACTGAGTGTAACTTCAGAAGTGCCATTGAACCAGAGGAAAGTTGTCAGGTTGATCCCATCAGCAGAACAGGAGAGAGTCACAGAACTGTTGAACTCCACTAAGTCTGAGCTGCTCACTGTGACTCTCACATTAGACACTGGCTCTGAGAGAGGGGGGACAGCACATGTTAGTCTACATATGAAAATAGAGCGTGGCTGGTGTTACAGATAGTTCACTAACAGTAAAAAAAACAACACTTATTTTAACCGATAACAGATTAAATGTCTAAAGGGTGCCTTTATCCCCCAAGGAAAATAGACTCAAAAATTCTAACAAGCTTCTGCCAATATTAGTTTTTAATTCATGTGCTCATGAAATAAATAGTGAATAATAATACAGCATTTATAATTACCATGAACGTTCAATGTAGAGATCCCACTTTGCACCGTACTTCCTGCTGGTATCAGGGTAACGCTGTACTCTCCAGTGTCATTATAAGTCACGTTCCTGAGCTGCAGAGATCCAGTAGAGATGAACGGAGTGATCCTGCCTTCATACTCTGGAGCAGTAAAGTTACCACCAGCGTGTGAAGTGATGATATTTGTACTGCCAAAATACCATGTTATTGCTATAAATGGAGTTTGTGTTGGAGCCAGTGAAGTGGTGAACGTGACTGTGCCTCCCACAGCTGCATCCACAGAGTCAGGCAACACACCATCTCCAGATGCAAAACCTGCAGATTGAGAGCACTGGTCATGAAAAATCCAGAACAAACATAGAGTCATTTTGAAAGATTTCATTTAGTAGTGTTGAGGAAAATAACCCTTTCCTCACGTGTTCGTTACTTTCTGCTTAGACAAAAAAATTACACTTGAAACAGAAAAAAGTCCAGATAATTTACTTATTCCAAAGTCATACTTGTACAAGGAGTCTGTGCTGACATTCCCATGCAGAGACTGAATATTTACGCCTATACAATGATTTTTATGCAAACTATAGTGGGAGGCGACCATGGTTTAGACTTAGTGCCTCTTTGTTGGTGCACAGACCAGCCAGGCCTCTTGGCACGTTATTGCACAATCTTATCCGATTGTGACAAGAATCCCCCCGATTCATCTCACTCCCCTTACGGGAGCGTCTTGCTGCTCTGATCAGGGTGATGAGTCGTGAGTCTGCATATCCCTATCAATAAGTCCTTGCCCTATTTAGTTAATTGATTAGACATATAGATAGAAATAGAATATCTTGTACATGAACTGAATCTATCTCTGCATCCCTCAGCTGTAATCTAGTCTCTGTTTTCTGGGTCATTGTATAGTGAATTCTAATAGTACAATAATAAAAATATAGCAGTACATCAGTAACATCATAGGCAAGGCAAGGCAAGGCAAGTTTATTTGTATAGCACAATTCGTACACAAAGTAATTCAAAGTGCTTTACAGAATAAGAAATACATTAAAATCATAATAAAAACAAATCAAAACATAAATAATCATGAAGATTAAAATTAAAAAAAGAGAGACATAAATTGGAGAGAAGAGTGCGGAATGAAAACCTTTCAGTTATATGCACAGTTAAACAGAAATGTTTTGAGCCTGGATTTAAACAGCGTCACAGAAGAGTCTGTCTCACATGTTCAGGAAGACTGTTCCAGGTTTTAGCTGCATGAACCTGAAACGCTGACTCCCCTTGTTTAGTTCTGACTCTGGGCACCAGCAGGAGGCCGGTCCCTGAGGTCCTCAGAGTGCGAGATGGTTCATATGACACTAACATGTCACAGATGTACTTTGGTGCTCGGCCATGGAGAGACTTGTACACAAGCAGAGCTGCTTTAAAGTCTATTCTCTGAGGCACAGGAAGCCAGTGCAGAGACCTGAGCACAGGACTTATGTGCTCGTACTTCCTAGTTCGAGTAAGGACCCGAGCTGCAGCGTTCTGGATGTTCTGCAGCGTCTCACAGCTCGTTTGGAGAGACCAGTGAGCAGACCATTACAGTAGTCTAATCTACTGGAGACAAACACATGGATAAGTTTCTCCAAGTCTGATTTAGACAGTAAACCTTTGATTTTTGCTATGTTTTTTAGATGGTAAAAGGCTGCAGATGTTATTGATTTTATGTGACTGTTAAAGTTCAAGTCTGAGTCCATTATTACCCCTAGATTTCTTGCCTGATTTGAAGGTTTTAGAGAGAGAGACTGGAGGTGACTGCTGACACTGTCACTTTGTTTCTGTGGACCAAACACTATGACTTCAGTCTTGTCAGAGTTTAGCTGGAGAAAGTTGTTTTGCATCCACACACTGATCTGTTGGATGCAGTGACCAAGTGACTCCACTGGTCCATAGTCTCCTGCTGCCAGAGAGACGTAGATCTGAGTGTCATCTGCATAATTGTGGTACGACACGTTATTGCTGCTTATTAACTGGCCTAATGGGCAGCATGTAGAGATTGAACAACAGGGGGCCCAGGATTGACCCCTGAGGCACCCCACAGGTCAGGGCCATGTCATCTGAGACACAGTTTCCAATTTCAACAAAATACTTCCTGTCTTCTAGATAGGACTTGAACCAGTTTAGTACAGTACCAGAGATGCCCACCCAGTCCTCTAGTCTCTGTAAGAGGATCCCATGATCGACAGTGTCAAAAGCAGCACTCAGATCTAACAGGATCAAGACTGAGACTTTGCCTGCATCAGTGTTCAGGCGGATGTCATTTGTCACCTTGATAAGAGCAGTCTCAGTGCTGTGGTGGGCTCGAAAACCTGACTGGAAAACATCAAAGGAGTTGTTCATTTGGAGAAAGTTCGTAAGCTGTTGGTAAACAGCTTTTTCAAGGACTTTGCCAAAAAACGGCAGATTTGAGATGGGTCGGAAATTGTTCAGTACTGTGGCATCAAGACTGCTCTTCTTTAGGAGAGGCTTAATGACTGCAGTTTTCAATGCGTTTGGGAATGTTCCAGATTGAAGTGACATGTTAACTATGTGAGTGAGTGGTGAAAGTAAACTGTTGAGGACAGACTTTAGAAATCTAGTGGGTAACATGTCCAGGCAGCAAGTAGATGAACTCAGACTGGTAACGATCTCTAAAACAGTTTTGTCAGTTACAGGTGCAAAGTGATTCAGCTCTAAGTGTCTCTGTGGCTGCATGCTTGTTATTTGTGTTGTGGAATTGATGGCATTTTTGATGCCCTGAACTTTGTCATTAAAGAAAACTGCAAACTCATTACATTTAGATGTGGAAATTAGTTCTAGTGGCAGTGGAGCTGGAGGGTTTGTTAATCTGTTCACTGTTGCAAACAGGACACGAGAGTTGTTACTGCAATTACCAATAATGTCCGAAAAATACTTCTCTCTTGTTTTACTCAAAGTGTAGTTGTACATATGCATTGTTCCTCTGTAAATCTCATAATGAACCTGGAGGTTTGACTTGCGCCATTTCCGCTCAGCCTTCCGGCACTCCCTTTTCTGTGCTCTGACTGAGTCATCATTCCTCCACGGAGCTTTTTGCCTCTTTAACCACTTTAACCTTTATCGGAGCGATGGCATCCAGAACATTCAAAACACTCAAAGTCACAGAGTTCAACACATCATCAACATTAGAACATGAGGCAATTTCAAAATGTATCATTTCCATGAACAGTGCACCTGTGTTATCATTTATGTGTCTCCTTCGAACAACTGTAGGAGCAGCCGGTGGTTTGGGAATAACAGACAGGTCAAAGAAGACACAGAAATGATCAGACAGAGCAACATCAACCACATTGACATTTGAAATATTTACACCCTTTGTAATGAGCAGGTCCAGAGTGTGCCCTCTGTTGTGAGTGGGCTCACTGACATGCTGAGTCAGACCAAAAGTTTCAAGGACAACACTAAGCTCTTTGGCATTTAGCAGTAGTTATACACCACCTAAACCTAGTTTTTTATCCTAACAGCAGCATAAGTAGTTTAACAGTTCTTACCAAATGTAACACAAAGAATAATCACTTTGAAATCCATATCTTCTGCTGAATTGACCATCACCAGTACACAGCAGTATAATGTGGCATCAGGCAGGACCATTGTCTTTTAACAGTTACTTGTTAACTGTTCCTTGATTAATCATTATACACGGCTCCACGGCTCATATCATGTTATTGCACCTGCCTATTTTGTTTTGACTCCTTAGCTCACCAAGGAGTCAAAACAAAATTTTAACTTAAGGCCGGTGTTCTGTCGAAATGGGCAGCCCCGTCAAAATGAGCTCCCAGCAGCCTAAATCGACAGTGATCGACCTCATGTTTTTCTGTTTACAGTTGTATAGATCCAATAAAGCCAAACCCTAATCCTAACTTCCCCAGGTTTACAACATATTTCCTTGAATTACAGACGGCGAGTTTGATGCTGTTTATACACCGTCATTACATTTTATACTTTATACCTTAGTCAAATTTCAACTCATTTATGTGAATATCCGTAGGTAGTACATTTGGACAGTTGTTTTCTGCTAAAACAGGGCTCCAACTAAAGAGAGCACATATCCACAGGTCAATTTAGTCATCGAATAATGTAGAATCACCATTATTCACTCATCTATCTAATATTTCAAAGAACTGTCTGTGTCTCTGTTTGTCTGTTCCACGCATAACTCTCAAACTGCTCATCCAACAGAGGATGTCATCCTAATGTTACATATGTGTGCAGTGCCAATTTTCCTGTTGTTAGGGCAAAAAATGCCAAAGATCTGATAAAATGAGTGTTATATTTTAAGTACTAGTCTATCTATTCATTCAAGGAACGTCTGTGTCTCTGTTTGTTTGTGTGTTCTACTCATAACTCTCGAGCTGCTCAGCCGACCAATCTCAAATTCGGAGGGTTCATCCTAATGGCGTGTGCAATGCCAGTTTCCATGTTGGTAGGGCAAAAAATGCCAAAGATCTTTTAAAATGAGTGATATATTTTACATAACTTTTGGAATCTCTCTTCTGCCTCCCAGCAATGGTTGTCCATAGCGATAAAACTCTCTGACATGCAGTTTGAAGTCACATGGGTGTGATTGACAGGTGGATTAACCAATCAGGCACAGGTATGGTCTCTCCATATCAAAACAAGTATGTGTAACATGACACAGGAAGTTCGCCAGGAGGCTCTTCCGGCTCCTTCTGACTCTGGCTCCAATTGACTTTGCATTTGGATCTTGTCGTCCCTCTCTCTGTAACTGCTGCTGTGAGCCTCATTTTTTTGGTCTTAAAATGTTCATATTAACCCGCTCTACCATGATCCTGATGCTTTTTTTTTTCTCACTTTTTTGTCCATCAAAAAAATCCTATTCATAACACAGAGCCTGGCTTCAGGTTTGCTCCTGTAACCGTGAGCATTGCGAGTTTCATTTGAGCGGCGCTGAACGCTGTGGGTGACGTCACACTCACTTAGTCCACTTCTTTTATACAGTCTATGTGTCTAATATTGTCCTTGAGTTAATCCCAATACCTAATCCTTCAATATCACCTTCAATACCACTATGGCACCCATTCAGGAGCAGTGGATTTGTTTTTAAAGGAGAAAAAAAACTCAATTTCATGCCAAATTCAAGATAGCCGCCATCCAAAGTCTCATACGCAAATGGGCCTCAATTTGAGACCAGTTGCCTTATAACTAGGGATGGGCATTCGATGAAAGTTTCTTAATCGATCGTCGGAAGAATTAACAATCGATTATCGATTAATCATCAACGTTTTTATATTAAAATGATCATCATTATTATTTACTATCTGCACTACTTATCTGCATAAATAAATTCAACTTTACGACAAATAAACCGTAACCACTCTAGAGCCACATCAATCCATTTCACATTATTATGTGTTTAATTCAGTTTTGCGCAACTCTCACAAAAACAAAATTTAAAACTGCATCGCTAATTTGCATAAACTAAGCGAAGATAAAACTCCAGCTCTTGTGTCGCTGATGCCGTCAATTTCTGTCGGATTAAAAGACATGATTCAGGTGAATACAGGTTAGTGTGACCAGATTTGCGTTTGTCAAAACCAGGACACCGTACAGGGGGTGGGAGGTGGGGACTCGTCATTCACATTGAGCGACTCTCACCTGGTAAAACTTTTTCCCACTGGACATGAAACATATGTGCTGCTTTACACACTGTGCACATGGACTCACACTTGTCCCAAACACAACGGAAAGCGTGGCATTTCTTGTACAAATCATCGTTAAATACACATTTGCGTTGCAGACTGACCGAATGTTTCTGTTTGTGTCTCGCTCCTTCTGAGTGCAGAGAGACACATGTACAGACCTCTGTTTGGTCACGCTACACACAGCAACCTACATTCGGTTTGTTTAGTCCTGGTTTAGACCTGGTTTAGTCCTGGTTTAGACCTGGTTTAGTCCTGGTTTAGTCCTGGTTTAGTCCTGGTTTAGACTTGGTTTAGACCTGGTTTAGTCCTGGTTTAGTCCTGGTTTAGACCTGGTTTAGTCCTGGTTTAGTCCTGGTTTAGTCCTGGTTTAGACCTGGTTTAGTTTTTAGTCCTGGTTTAGACCTGGTTTAGTCCTGGTTTAGTCCTGGTTTAGACCTGGTTTAGTCCTGGTTTAGACCTGGTTTAGTCCTGGTTTAGTCCTGGTTTAGACCTGGTTTAGTCCTGGTTTAGTCCTGGTTTAGTCCTGGTTTAGACTTGGTTTAGACCTGGTTTAGTCCTGGTTTTAGTCCTGGTTTAGACCTGGTTTAGTCCTGGTTTAGTCCTGGTTTAGTCCTGGTTTAGACCTGGTTTAGTCCTGGTTTAGACCTGGTTTAGACCTGGTTTAGTCCTGGTTTAGACCTGGTTTAGTCCTGGTTTAATCCTGGTTTAGTCCTGGTTTAGACCTGGTTTAGTCCTGGTTTAGACATGGTGTAGTTCTGGTTTAGACCTGGTTTAGTCCTGGTGTAGTCCTGGTTTAGACCTGGTTTAGACCTGGTTTAGTCCTGGTGTAGTCCTGGTTTAGTCCTGGTGTAGTCCTGGTTTAGTCCTGGTTTAGACCTGGTTTAGTCCTGGTTTAGACCTGGTTTAGTCCTGGTTTAGACCTGGTTTAGTCCTGGTTTAGACCTGGTTTAGTCCTGGTTTAGACCTGGTTTAGTCCTGGTGTAGTCCTGGTTTAGACCTGGTTTAGACATGGTTTAGACCTGGTTTAGTCCTGGTTTAGTCCTGGTTTAGACCTGGTTTAGTCCTGGTTTAGTCCTGGTGTTAGACCTGGTTTAGTCCTGGTGTAGTCCTGGTTAGACCTGGTGTAGTCCTGGTTAGACCTGGTGTAGTCCTGGTTTAGTCCTGGTGTAGTCCTGGTTTAGTTAGACCTGGTTTAGACCTGGTTTAGACCTGGTTTAGACCTGGTTTAGTCCTGGTTTAGACCTGGTTTAGTCCTGGTTTAGTCCTGGTTTAGTCCTGGTTTAGTCCTGGTGTAGTCCTGGTGTAGACCTGGTTTAGTCCTGGTTTAGACCTGGTTTAGACCTGGTGTAGTCCTGGTTTAGACTTGGTTTAGACCTGGTTTAGACCTGGTTTAGTCCTGGTGTAGTCCTGGTTTAGACCTGATGTAGTCCTGGTTTAGACTTGGTTTAGACCTGGTTTAGTCCTGGTTTAGTCCTGGTGTAGTCCTGGTGTAGACCTGGTTTAGACCTGGTGTAGTCCTGGTTTAGACTTGGTTTAGACCTGGTTTAGTCCTGGTTTAGTCCTGGTTTAGTCCTGGTGTAGTCCTGGTTAGTCCTGGTTTAGTCCTGGTTTAGTCCTGGTTTAGACCTGGTTTAGTCCTGGTGTAGTCCTGGTTTAGTCCTGGTTTAGACCTGGTTTAGTCCTGGTGTAGTCCTGGTTTAGTCCTGGTTTAGACCTGGTTTAGTCCTGGTGTAGTCCTGGTTTAGTCCTGGTTTAGTCCTGGTTCCACTACAGATGCATTTTACTACTTTGGCTGGTTCGCTCTCTGACTGTCCAATCAGCGGCTCTGAATTCGGTGACGTCGTACACCTGCTAAAGGCCCTGGCGATACAAACTCAAAATCTGATTGGTTGAAGCAATAGCTTCATGGACATTTAATTTGTGTTCGAGATCCTGCAGAACGCACTGTGAAGACCTCAGGCACACTTCTTTGACTTTGACTCAGCCTAGCAGCAAGTGACAGCTGAAATGTGATTGGTCAAATGCTTTAATATGAAAATGCATGTGTGGAAGCAGCATAAGCATCAGAAATGCTCTGAAAGGAAGTGGACAGAACATTTGGAATTATTTAATAATAAAAAAATTAATTTAATAATTTAATAACATCAGTCTGTGATTCAGATTTTTTTTTTAGGCCAGCAGAGAAGGACTTGCAGGCCCTGAAGCTCCGCCACTGACATTACTATATAACTTGATCTGGTTTGGTCTCCATGAAGATAGAAATGTTTTTTCTAGATCAAACCAGATTAATTTACAGGTCAGATCTGTGGAGAGACGACCCCACTCACAGTCAGAATGTCTGTTTCTATAGGTATTTTTGAGCTATAAAACCACCTGTAATTGATACATGTTAGCAAGATCTGTTTAATGTCATACTGTGGAACATTCTAGGCAGAGCAATGACATATTCATAGAAACAAGAAGGCAACGGACCCCCAATCGAAAAATTACACAGTGCACCTTTAAGTCAAAATTAAAGAATAAAAAAAAAACTGCAAAACTACAATCCTCCAATATAAAAGAGCTGTTTTTGTGCTTGCCTTGTTTCCTTCCAAATACAGCATCTCTATGGCCTTCAGAGGGTGCATCATGCGCGGAGGGAGAGTTTGGATGTGGTTATTTGACAAATCCAAGATCTAAACAAACTCACAGTTAATTTAGTCAGCTAAAATTAAAAAGTGACATATTTTAATATTTTACTGCCATATTTTAAAGAGAGAGTATTATTATATAGTTTATTTTTCAACCATGTTATGAGCTTGTTTTTTCATCCAAAACTGAACATCCTGAAGAGGTTTTAGATGTCATCCATGCACGTTTGAGTCATTTAGCGATCTCTTTAAGGCCCTATTCAAACCTTCCTTACTGTTAGCTGTAAGATTTGCCCATGAATCTTTATGTTATAATTTAGACATTGGGTCAGTCCGTATGAAATCAGCTGCCCTCCCCTATGAGCCATTACAGATTTGGCTGATTTTTTTTTTTTAAATGTCTAAAATCACCAAATGAAAGAATCTCAAATTTTAGGTCAATCAATTGACTCGTTCCTGAGTTATGGCCCATTGAAATTTTGGGGCCATGTTCACTTTTTCTGAAGCCTTAATTTATTAAGTATGTTTGACCACAACTTTATAAAAAATAGAGCTCGGAAGGTAAAATGTGTATTATTGGAGATTCATAGATTATAGTAGTCATAGATTCTCAATCTGTTGTCAAATCTTGGGTATCTTTATTAAGGGGGGCACTGTGGGGCCCCAAAATCTCACATTCACTGGCCGCTCAATTTTATTTATTTTGATTTTTATTTCAGCAAATTTGAGCTCCCTTATTTTTTTTACTTGCAAGACACATCTATTTTGCGCGCGGGTAAGGTGCGCGCAATCCTTGGCGTACACACATTCGTGTGCCAAGGCATTTGTTGTTTTGCGCACAGAGGATAAAGAGCTCCGGGAAGTCTCTCAGAAGAAAGAAAGAAAGAAAGAAAGAAAAAGAAAGAAGAACGAACGAACAGAAATGGCACGCAAAGCGTCACTTTCCTTGAAGCAGTGCGATGGTAACGGAGCCTGGCAGTGACGCCGAGTGATGTGGACACTTTTTATACAGATGAAGAGTTGGATTACCTGAGGATCTGGACCCTATTGAAGAGTAAGTAGCAAATATTTCATAGTTATTTAGAGCAAACATCATGCACACTTGTAGTAAACGGGCGTAAATACATAATAGTAGCATGCGTAATGCCTATTTACGCATGTTGGATACAGTTTTATTTGATGCGTGAGGGGTTAATCATTTAGGTGGGGGATGAGATTGTGAACCAGACAACTGTTTACCTGTGTTCACTAGACTTATGACATGTATGTTGTTGTTTATAATAACGAGCTACAAACTACATGTGTAAAGTGGATGAAGTGTTTGGGAGGTGTGGATGTCCTAATTAGTGAGGTCATAAATCTGTTGACACCATTTGGGTGGGGGATGGGGTTGTGCATTGTGCCCCCTGCACTAGACTTAGACTTGTTGTCCATATGTACCGTTTTACACAAACTAACATTTTTCCTCTTCTTTGTTTAGTGCTGAGTCAGAGGATGTTCCTCAGGCTTCCAGATTCCCCTGTGCCATTCACTTCAGGTGTCTCCCCAGCTTCATCAGTTACAACCCCAGACCCGTCCAGAACCATTCAACACCTTCAACACCTACGATCTCCTCTGAACAGAGGAGGGGCAGGGATTCCAGATTCCACTCCTCAGTACTTCATCTCCATCACCACACTTACTAACCACCACACCAGGAAGACCGCAGCAGGCAAGGATCATTGGCTGTCATGTGTGCATGCTGACAAACACAGGGGAAGAAGCAGTGTATGCATGAAATGCAGGCCTGTGATGTGGCACTATGCTGGTGCCTGATAGGAACTGCTTCCATGATTGGCACTAAAACTTGACGAGTGCTTTTTTTGTTTTGAGGGCAAAAATACATTAAATACCTACAAACTTCATATTTTGCACTTTTGTAGCTAAGACCCTAAACTAAGTTTTATTATGTCAAACATGTTTGAATAAAGGAGTGTGAATATTATTTTCTTTTTTTTTCCTTTGATTCTATGCTAAGCTTTTACAGCCATATGACACAACTACAGCATTCAGATTTGAAAAACAGGTTGTACTGAAAAAAGTGTATAGCACTTCATTAGGGGATAAAAGGGGAGTTTAATAGCAAAATTAGGCGAGGACAAATGTACCAAAAATGCCCTTAGGTCTGGAAGGGTTAAGGGGGCACTGTGGGGCCCCAAAATCTCACATTTGGTTGCCGCTCAATTTTATTATTTTTTTTCAGCATTTGAGGATCAAGATCTATTTTACTCCAAGCAACTGTTGAAATTGAATATTTGAGAGAATGACCATTTCTGACAACAATCCCACACTTTTCTGAGCTTTCATGTGGATGATGTAGAGTCTTAAATATGGTCACAGACCAAATGTGATCTTTTTGGTCCCTTCTTTGGACCCTCAGTTCCCCGTGTGGGCACAGTTAGATGTTGATCAAATTTTTACCAGAGAAACTTTGGCATATTCTGATTAGTTTAAAGTAATAAAAACATCTACTATTAACTTCCTTCATTTCAAACGGAATTTTTGAAAATGAGCTCTCATGGGTCGTTCTAGGTGGAGCTTAGGTACTTTTCCACCTGCTAGAAAACTTAAATTACCTTTAATAGCCTTAAACACTATTTGCTTGTTATAAGGGAAGACAATTGGAGATTATTTGTGGCTACATTGTTTATGATGGTTTTGGTGGCACAGTAAACGGCTCGGCTGCAAGGACAAGGCTTCAGACAACAGAAATCAAATATTGACCACACTCCAGATGTTTGAGTGGGTTTCGCAAAACATAAAGAATGCAAAGGTTTTTTTTTTTACAAGCTCTAAATAAAAAAGTGAGCATGGCCCCAAAATTTCAATGGGCCATAACTCAGGAATGACTCAAGGGATTGAGCTAAAATGTGAGATTCTTTCATTTGGTAATTTTGGAAATGTTTTGAAAGGTTTTCAGCCAAATCTGAGCTGGCTCATAGGAGAGGGCGGCTGATTTCATATGGACTGACCCCATTTTAAATCACTATATTCATCTAAACAAGTCTGCTGAAAACTGTGCTGTTCAATGGGAGCTGACATCGCTGTAAATGTCGTGACAACAACGCGCCAAATGCTGTGAGCCCCTCATGTAGACACGTCACACTAGAGAAGAGCACTTTTTATATTTGGACCGAAACTTGTATCACTGATTAAGAAAATAAAATTGGAGAAGGAAGAAGAGAGCAGTGGGCGTGTACTATGAAGGTTAAAACAGAGGTTGTTCGGCAAAATAGCATCTCGAAAATAAGCGATTAAAGATGACTGAGACATGCATGAATCACTCCAGATACAACTTCAGAAGGTTAGTAAATGGTTAAAAAACTATAACATGGTTACAAGTTCTGATAAGTTGATTTTACAGAATAAGTTTGCTAAACTGTACCAGGCACCTCGAGTTTACTGAGTCCAGAGAAAGACTGGTCCTGGAGGGAGCTGATCAGGTTGTTTTGGAGGTACAGCTCGGTCAAAGCTGGACTCCTAGAGAAGCAGTGATCAGGGAGCGCTCGGAGCTGATTAAAGCCCAGACGAAGCACTGCGAGGCTGGGCAGGATCGGAGCATCACTGCGGGTGAGGGTAGGAATCTGGATATGCAGGAGACAGGTTTGGAAGAGAGATCTCAATTCAGCAATTCAAACAACTTGTTCAAGAAACTCTGCCAAATCTTAGTATGCACACTATAGTATCTTGAGAGATTGGCGGTGGTTGGTCGGGCAGATGGTGCAGATTGTCAGCCTTGCTTCTGTCAGTCTACTCCAGTATCTTACCACCACACTTTTATGGGTTTTTCATACGTGATAAGTGCAATAAAAATGTTATATAATTTGGTGTTTTGGTTCAAGATTATTATCCAATCAGAAAACAGAATGGGTTGCCAGTTTCAATAGGAAATTTAATTGGTTTAAAGCTAAAAAGCCTCTCTCTGATCCCTAAAACCCAGCACCTACACAATTATGAATCAGTGCTCATGCATGGTTTTATTATCAAATATTATTATCTCTAAACATGAGTTAACTATAAGAGAAAATATTAATATGCATAATATAAGTAGACCTGGTTTCCGCTGAGGTCGATCTCGTGGATCTCGGTGAAAACAGTGAAAGAGGTCCAGGACGGGTGTGAGAACTGGTTTTGAGGAAACAACAAAACCTGACAGAAAACAGAAAAATGACACAGGAAGCATTAGACACTTCGCTGGACTTTTATCAACAGGGAGTGGCCAAGAGCTGTCAAATCAAACTGCCCATACAAGGCAACAGGAAATGCCCCACTCTTCACAGATAAAATATGTGTATTCAAGTTTAATATTTTTTTATTTCAAGGTGTTTTCTGTAAATTTTCTGGTAGACATGTTTTTGTTTTGCCTGGAATGTTCCACAGTAATGTCATTAAACTTTTTATATTTTTCTCCATGGAGACAAGCTAGTGGTGCCATTAGCCCAAGTTGCAGGTCAGATCTGTGGAGAGGCAACTTCAATCACAATGAGAATGGCTGTTTTTAAGATATTTTGCTTGCAATTGAAAATAACTGAAATAAAATACAGTATTTTCCGCATTTTGGGCACTCTGGATTATAGAATGGTCTATTTTCGAACTTTTTTCACAAATAAACCACACCGGACTTTAAACGAAACACAACAGTTAGATGGGTCAGACGGACTGTGTTTGGCGTGTTTACGGTGACTCTGGGCTTTGTTCAGTTGTGGCATGTAGTTAGGGTCCTGTCTGGGACCGCTGGATTGTCAGCCTGTGACTCAGTTGTTCAGTTGTGTCTAGAAGTGGCACATTGCACTCGCTTTTTCGGTTCGTTCCTCCGTTCCGTTCCTTGTCGGCGTGGAGTGCTGAGTGTGGCTGCGGGTGTTTTTCGCTGTGCAGTCGCTGTCTGCTCCGTGCGTGTTTGCGTGCTTTACTGAAGTCGTGCTGGGACTCCCGAGTGGATTCATGTATAGGGCGCTCTGGATTGTAGGGTGCGCAGTCGTTTTTTGATGGGGTTGGAGGCCTAAGAACGCGCCCTATAGTGCGGAATATACGGTAATTAATCTTGGCAATATAGTTGGCATTTCAGTCCAGGCAAAGGAATAGCATCTCCATGGAGACAAATGGGTAGTTCCACCTAAAAGCCCTCCAGCAAAAAAAAAACAAAACAAAAAAAACACTCAATGCACCTTTAAAGGTCTTAGATTGCACAAAATTGACTCTTGTGAGCTTTAAGCCATGTTAGAATGTTGCTACCTCATCAAACCTCAAAAGTTAGCAGCTAGCTTTTATATTTTGTTTAGAAAAAAAATTGAAATTCCAGGACTGAACTGGTCCAAATGATTCTAGTGAAAATGTATGGAGTTTAAAAACACAGTGAAGCCTGTATTACCACATGACATCACAAGGTGGAAGAGAGAAGAACTAAATCTGCAGGGGTTGTGTGTTAAACATTTGTGAATGAAATAAAACATCGGTCCAGGTTTGTTTGGGGGACAAAACAACATTTGAACATAGATCAGAAAATAGTGTAATATGAGCCCTTTTATAGTAGTAGTGCGTTTTCTGACCTTGGTTGTTGGTTCGATTCCCGATGGCACGTCTCTGTAACCTGCTGAGGTGCAGTTAATCAGTGGTCGGTGATCTTTGTCCCTGCCATCAACGCAACCCCTCGCTGTTGTCTCCACGGCGACAGGAGCGAAAAACAAAAACGTGAGATGTAGAAGAGAGAGACGAGCGGAGAGACGGAGGAGAGGTGCATCATGGGTCAGAGTCTGGGTCAGGACTGGCTCTGAGAGAAAGAGGAGAAGAGAGAGACTCAACTGAAACAGGAAACTGAGAGTCCACTGATAACAGCATTACACTCTGTAATGTCTTTCTAAAACAGTGGAGTCCAACAGTGATCACTCTGGCTTTGGAAGTACAATTTCCCATACAATTTTCCCACAGACTTTTCAAAAAAATTCAAATATTAAAGGTGCATTGTGTGCACCAATATTTAACTTTTCTTAGCTCTTTAAGAGTTCCAAGAGTCAATTTTGTATAATACAAGAGCTTTAAGTAGTAGTGTGCCCAAAGACACAACACCAGAATGTAGTGTGTTTATGTATTTATCTGAACCTTTTTGTTGAAATAAAAAACACCAGATACTCACTTGTTATTTTGATTATATCTTTAATTATTCAAAATCTGTCTCTATTCTTAAGGGTTAAATACCGTAAAAACAGAACTGTGAATTACATAAGTTACTCAAATATTTGATGTTATAATGAGAAAATATTTGAAAAAAAATGTAATATAAATGATAACATTATTTTTCTACCAGGTACTGATCGGTTTGAAAGGGTGTAGTTTTTTGGATCCAGACAGCAGTGTGTGCCAACAGATTCTGTGCACAACTGGAGAACACAAGGGAATATGGATGTTGTTCTCAAGTTCAAGAGGAACAAATGAAGCACATATAGAAGTGATTAGACAGCCTGCAATAATTATTTGTTTATTCTATCTATTTATGTTTGTGTTTCTTTACGTGTGCAGAAGTGAAAAAGAAGTTATAGTTACAGTATACAATAACTTATTTATTCTATTTATTTGTTTGTGTATTTAGTTATTTCTTTGTAGAGTTGTGTTTGCTAAAGTAAATATATACAGTATTTAAATGTATACAGTGTGCAGTACTTAGAGTTACTCTATTTTGTGTTTTTTAAAAGTGTGTGCTTGTAGCAAAACTGAAGTATAAAAGAAGTTACATGGTGTGCAATACTTTTTGTGAAATATTTTTATATTTGTGTTTGTACTTAAGTATTTATTGATGCAATGTGCATAACCATCTGTTTTATTTGATTGTACTTTCATTATAATGTTTAGCGTTTGTTTGACAATAACTTGGTACCATTTTGAAAAAGTCAACTCACTGTACCATTGCTGATGTTCTGGTCCAAACTGTGCTTTGTACACGTTAATGTCATTTTGAAGGGAGTATATACTGAGACACACAGGCCCAAATCCTGGATGGTTCACCGTGCATGTGGGTTGGCTGGGGTCTTCTTCCATTCTTGCTGTCACCTGCCAAATATATGATCAATAACATGAGTGTGCATAACACACAGTAACTGAAAACTAGTTTTTGTAAAGCAAACGCACCTTGGGGGTTTCTTAACAGCATCTGTTTTCCACCTGAAGACATGAAATAAATAAATAAAATGAACTACAGCAATTGCAGACTTTAGCCAAAATGACAAGCTTGATTCGCTATAACATCACGTTACATTTACACATTCAGTGAGGTGTGCACTTGTAAACACATTGTGTCATGGTAATAGCATAACCATGTATAAAGGTATGCATTAAATATATACTCAGGACAACAAATGTAAAGTTGTATCAGGTCCTGACACAAAGTGCCAGAGTTATTCCAGGAGTGAGGTGCTTAATGCTGAGGACACAGTCTACTTATATGTGTCAATCAGTGCTATTCTTTAAAGTTACTGTATGCAGGATTTGTGTGGCTCTGGATGAAATAAATCGAGGGGTTTCTTGTCAAACTGTTGTGGCCCTCTTTATTTTTAGTGTATCATTGTCCAGCATAGCGTTCGATTTACCAAATGTTTATTACGTGGTTCTTAGCATATTACTTCATTTTAGTGCTAATCGCTACGTCAATGAACTACGCAAAAACAATTCTACATGTGGCAATGTTTTGTATCGAGGCTCTGGTGTTACTCACGTGTAGTTGAGTGGTTGTAGGTCTCCAAAAACACTCCTGGTATTTCATCGTTTGCGGTGATAGATGGCTAACGCTAAGCTAGCTCACATTCAAAAAACGAATTGGGGTTAACACTGGGTCTATACAGGTCTATTTACATGTCCTCCAAATCAGTATCTTACACTTTACATGGATGTGTGTTTAGTACTTGTATTGTAGGCTATAGATGTTACGAGATCAGTGTTTTTAGGTGGAAAACAGGATAACTTCCATTTTCATCCTTCAGTCTCTGGATGACTCCCTCCTCTGTGTTACGCTCCCTCAGCCCCCAGCGGTGCCTCCAAAATGTTGTGCCCTCTACTCCGACAGTGTGGGAGAGATACGTGGTTGCTTTTTGTAGACAGTGACGGACAGAGACGCAGTTCACGTCCTTACTCCATGACTTTATTTCAAAACAAGAACAACGAACTTGTAAATATGGAATTGTACAATTTTTAGCATTTATACCTTTTGTACCAAATGAATTCTTTTTTAAATTTAACAGAATGATAGAAATAAATTGTTGTTGTTTTTAACAATATTTTAAATCATTGACCCACTTTTTTTTTTTGTTACATATAGACTGTAGAACACGCCAAGTCGCTACGTGCTTACGTCAGTGCGCACGTGCGTGCTGTTGTTATATTTGTTGCTATGTGCGTTTTTTTAAACATTGCAAACTTTGCAAACTTTACTCGAGACGAGAAAAAGCGCTTATAAAACTATCCTTACATTTTGACCAAAACCAGCCAGATCTTTGGATTATTTCCAGCAGACTTGTACTGACCGCCCTCTCACACTCGGACTACAAGACTTTTGGGAAGAAAAACGTGAGGTTTGTGAGTTTACATGTTCATATTTTAATCGCTTCGGGATTTTACCATTATGTTACACAAAAAACAACCAATACTGTAGCAAATAACCCTTTTAACAATACGTAGATCATGATTACGATGAGGTTATTCAAAGAAATGTGCCCTTGTGCATTTACGCTTTCCTTTGAATGCAAAATTCCAAACAGAAGGCAACAGTCAGAGATGGTTCTCACGTTAGCACACCCAGGCTACATCTAGGCTAACTTGTCTGCGCTCAACAAATACAATTGACCTTAAAACGTGACAAATTCACCGGATTGGTTCAGGATTCTGTAAGGGTTAGAGAAATCAATATAAATCAATCAAAATACATAATTAATTGCCAGTGAAAAACTGGTTGGTTTAGTCCTGGTTCAGTCCTCGGTTCAGTTCTGGTTTGGACCTGGTTCAGGTCTGGTACAGCTCTAACTTAGTCCTGGTTTAGTCCTGGTTTAGTCCTGGTTTGGACCTGGTTTGGACCTGGTCAGTTTTGGGGAGTAACAGATTACATGCACTGGAGTTATGTAATCAGAGTACAAATTATGAGTAACTGTATTCGGTTACAGTTACTGTTTCAGTGAGTGGTAATTGGATTACAGTTACTTTGTTGAAATAAATGGATTACATGGCGGTATTTTACTGTTTTCACATTCTGGGTTATATCCCCACCCCCCTTTTTTTTCTCTGTAATTTCACTCATTGCCGGAAACTAAACCAGGTCTAAACTAGAGCTAAACCAGATCTAAACCAGGTCTAAAACAGGTCTAAAACCAGGTCTAAACAAGGACTAATACAGGTCTAAACCAGGACTGAACTAGGACTAAAACCAGGTCTAAACTATATCTAAACTAGGACTAAACCAGGACTAAAATCAGGTCTAAACTAGATCTAAACCAGATCTAAACCAGGTCTCAAACAGGTCTAAACCAGGACTAAAACAGGACTGAACGAGGATTGGAGCAGACCTTAACCAGAACTGGACCAGGCTTAGACCAAGATTAAATGTGACTAAACCAGGACTAAACCGGTACCAAACCAGAACTAAACCAGGAATCAACCAGGACTAGTCCAAGACTGAAACAGGACTAGACTAGGCTTAGACCAAGACTAAATGAGACTAAACACAGGAGTAAACCAGGACCAAACCAAGACTTGATGAAATGTGATTAAACCAGGACAAAACCAGGGCTAGACCCAGACTAGATCAGAATTGAACCAGGACTGGACCAGGTCTAAACCAGAACTAGACCGGGCGTAAACCAGGACAAAAATATGATGAAACTAGGACTACACCAGGACTAAACTAGGACTAGACCAATTAAACCAACCAGTTTCTTGTTTTCACCTTGAATAGTGTCCAAACACAAACTGAACTGTACTTTTATACTTGTACTATTAAACTTTTACTATATGTATTTTGTTTGTTATTTGTTATTTGTTATTTTGTTTGTACAATCTAATGCAAGCTCCACTAATTCTTTGTTTCGGAATTTGCAGTACTTCTTGTA